CCCTAGAATGACTTCCAGTTCACACTAGCCAACTCTCCTAACTACACTCAGATGATACTCGCATATTGAAAAAAGGAGGAGAGGCTGACATAAGGGCTTACATACAAAAGAATACACAATCAAACCCATGATAGAAACCTACAAAAGAAGAGAAATATTGTGTAATTTTTTTCTTTGTTAGCATAAGCTCCACAATGTAGAGCTATCGCATTCATTACTCTTTTACCTCTGAATTGGATAATAAAGTTTTGTCTAAATCCAGACTCTCTCCCAGGCTCTTCTCTCTTTTTCTTTATACTCATAGTTCATTACCTTCTCCACATAGGCTCTTAATTCATAGGTACATGAAGTACAACCCAACATCATCCACCAGATAAAACAGGATTCAACATGATCCATAATTGAAAAAATTATATATATATATTAGTCATGATGTTCAACCAACAGAAACAACTTATCATATCAATTAAATCATGACCACAAAATGTAAAATTAATAGGAACAAAAAGAAACCTAAACTTGCCGCCTATATTAACCTCATTCCACTAGTTTCTCACGCTTACCTGAAAACATGTACAAACAACATAATGATCACAAAAGCCTAAAAGGTCACTAAAATTAACCACAGAAATTAATGCACAAAATATAAATAATATGTAAGTAAGAAATCATATTCATATAAGTAGTAATCTATCACACACATTCTTTTCGTTTATATATCAAGTGAACCAAACTTATCACATATGTATCATATGTTGTGTATCCATACCAATATCATATTAGATTGGCTGCATGTTAATAATATTTCTTATATCATTCAATCAATTAATCATTATCATTAGTCAATCAATATCATTGCATATCGTATATCATATATCTATTTGTCATGGGGCTAACCTATTAGGAATCAATCTCATCAATCATTAGACTTATATATCATATGTTTTATCTATTATTGATCTTATTTGTCATCAGTCTTCTCTGTCATTTGTCATATGTCTTATCTATCATTGATCTTATTTGTTATTGATCTATCATCTATCTTATATGTCATTTGTCATCGGTCTATCATCTATCATCGCTCCTATAAATTATCAATCATCAGTCATCTCATCAGTTATATATTACTCATCAGTTTTCTCAATCATATAAGTATCAATCTCACTCGTCGATATGACACATCAATTCATTCTTTTTTTTTGTTCTTACACATTTCATATCATGTATATCATAATAAAATAAATTATATGCACATCATATATAATTTTCATAATATATAGATCTATCAAGTGTGCCAATCAATATGCATAAATTATGCCAAAATGCATATTATTCAAAATGAACAGTAACCGTATACATATAATATAGCTCATATCTAAATTTAATACATTAGTACTTGATTGCTTTGCACTCAATATTTTCTTACTCATTTCAATTAAAATGCCATATAAACTAAACCATCATGTGAAAATTCAATATAAGCCAATCAACATACTCATAATGATATATCTACAACATATCAAAAATTACACGACAAAAATTTGCTAAAATAGGAGATATTATATTTTTCTTAATTTCAGGAGAGAAATATACTAAAATCACAATAATTGAAAACAAATATAGAGTACTTACTATGATCAAAATAATTGAAAACAAACTCAAAATAATTCAAAACTTGTATAATTCATTGTTGTCTTGATAACGATCAACTTCTTTAGGAGTAATTTCAATAGTATTTAAAGCAATTGATGTATTTTTGGACATTGGAATAATTGAGTAGTTTAGCAAAAGTAAAAATACTGCAAACAAGTGTTCTCGAGAAAAAGATTCGATAAGGGGTCAAATTATTAATGAAAAATTAATTTGAATCTAATGTTAATATAATTTTGAATTGCCTGAATAGACAGACATAATTACATCCTTGGTTGTTAGGTTATGAGTTAACAACGACTAACTAATTGTTTATAGAACTTAGAAGTGACAGTTTCAACCTTCAAAAAGAAAATAAATTGGGTGATTATGATTTATATTATAAAACTTACATATTATTTTGATGATTGCATTTATTAATACATTCATTCAAATAAATGTTGCTTTACATTAAAATGATAAATATCAAATGATTGTGTTACAATATAATTCATATAAATGTGACAATTTCATATTGAGGTTATTATGCATGTATAAATGAAAAAGAAAAGAAAAGAATGAATTACAACATGAAATGAAAATTATTGAAAATGAAAAATTATATGCATGCAATATAAGAGTTCACCTCTTTATGATATTGATAGGGGATGCAACGTACTTATACATAATACAACAACAACAACAACAACATCAAGCCTTTATCCCACTACGTGGGGTCGGCTACATGAATCCTTTTTCTCCATTGTGTCCTATTAAAAGTCAAGTTCTCGTTTAACTCTAATAAAGAAAGGTCATTTCTAATATTTTCTAACCAAGTCTTTTTAGGTCTACCCCTACCTTTATTAACATAAGTCAAATATAATACCTCTACTCTCCTAACCGGGTCATTGGAAGGCCGCCGTTTGATGTGACCAAACCATCTAAGGCGACTCTCTCTAATCTCATCTTCTACTAGAGCTACTCCAACCTTTTCACGTATATGCTCATTTCGTATCCTATCTCTAAGGGTAAAGCCACTCATCCACCTGAGCATCCTCCTCTCTGCCACACTTAACTTAGTATTATGCTTCTCTTTTAATGGCCAACATTAGGCACCATAAAGCATTGCAGGCCTCACTACCATCTTATAGAATTTTCCCTTAAGTTTGAGAGGTACATTTCTATCACATAACAAGCCCGATGCATTCCTCCACTTCAACCATCAAATTTGAATTCTGCTGATAATATCCCCATCTATTTCACCATCACTCTGAACAATAGATCCAAGATATCTAAAACGTGTACTCTTATTAATGACTTGATCGCCCAAAGTTACAATCCCCTCACTAGGTCTATTATTACTAAAATTATACTCCATATATTCCGTTTTAGATCTACTCAAGCGAAAACCTTTAGACTCTAAGGTTGACTCCATAATTCAAGTTTACCTTCAATTCCCTCTCTAGGTTATCAACAAGAAGAATATCATCAGCAAAAAGCATACACCAAGGTACATCCTCTTGCAAATGTCTAGTGAGAACATCCACGATTAAAGCAAAAAGATATGGGCTTAAGGCTGATCCTTGATGTAACCCAACCGAAATAGGGAAATACTTGGTCAATCCACCTTGTGTTTGAACACAAGTAATAGCTCATGCATACATATCTTTAATGATTTGAATATAAGCATTATCGACTCCTTTCTTTTCAAAAACTCTCCATAACACTTCTCTTGGAACTTTATCATATGCTTTTTCTAAATCAATAAATATCATATGTAGATCCTCCTTATTTTCTCTATATTTCTCCATCAAACCTCTTAATAAATGTATGTCTTCCATAGTCGACCTACCCGGCATGAATTCAAATAAATGAAAAAAAAAAAATAATTTAAAAAAGAAAGTACTTTAATTGATACTATTTAGATGGTTCTCCCAAAATCAATGAATTATGAACAAGTCAAAAGTTAAATGATAGAAATATTAAAGGAATATATAAATCAAAGATTTATAGCATTATTTAAAATTGTGTAATATGAGGCTCGCCTTGAGGCCCTCTTCAATGCAATTCTAGTGAAAAAACCTCGAGGCTTACGCCTTGAACTTTTTTTTTTAGGCTTGTGCCTCAGCTTAGCTGAGGCCCGCCTTGAGGCACACCCCACCTCGCTGACATGAGTCGTATGTCTCACACTATTTATAAATATTTGCACTAAAATTACCTAAATCTTAAACTAAAACCCCAAATATATCATACATTCATGCACCCCGAGCCACAACTCCCTCTCGACTGCCTTGACCTCTAGCCCACTGCTTTCGTTGCAACCACCATTGTTTTAGCACCCGTCAGGATCACTTAAAAGACGCACACCACCACCACCTACTCTAAAGATTTTAGAGTACTGCTATTATCTTTATGTTGATAAAAAAAAATTTAGAAAGAGGAAGATGACTGAAATAAAAGAAGAATAAATAGATTGAGATGCATTGGACTCTACATAAGATAGATGAGATATCAAATTGTTATGATAATGACTTAAATAAAGACTACCTCGGTGATGACAATACATATGATTTCTGAGTTGTTGTCAATTATTTAAACTTTTTTTAGAAATTAAATATGAATGAATAGGGAATTACGAAAGAAAGAATTTTGAGTTGAACTTGATTTTATACAATACTTTATATATATATATAGTTATGAAATGAAAAGATTAATAATATGGCTTACTATTTATACGCATGATGCATTATTATTGTTATACTATAAAATCATAATTAACCACTGAATTAATATTAAGAACTCAACCTATTAAAATAATCATTTCAGGTAAATCCCTTCTCGAATGATGATTACATGCACAGAAGAAGAGGTTCAACTGAAAATAAATAAAAGTGATTTTATTTGAATGTTTAAACTACAAATTTATGTTAGTAACTCTCTGGTTAAAGTTTGGAAGTTTATTTAATTTGAGTACTTAGTTATTGAAAGAATTTGTGAAATCTATCCAACCATCTATTCGGCCTTGTTAACTGAGATTCTAGGCCAGGTCATGAAATGAAGGGTCAAACTTGGGAAAGCTCTAATAGCAAGGTTGAAAAGAATCAAATGGTCCATTTAGAATGTTAAAAACTTGGAATTAAGGGACTAGCCCATATCATTGCCAAAAAGAAAGATACAAAAACAATCCAGAATAACCACAAAAGGATGAAAATGCAGAAAAGAAAGCGTAAAGCCATAAAAAAGCTTAAAGACATCTCTGAAAAATATCAGCATAACAACAACAACAACAAAAAGGACTACCAAATTCAGGGCAAAGGGAGGATTAATAGAATCTCAAATAATCATAAATAACTCAGAACTTTTTGCCAAACCTGGTTGCCAGAGGAGCAGCAAAAACCATATTTTCCAACTGAAGAAACTGAAGAAATAAGAAACAGTGGCTTATGAGAAATCTGAAATCTGAGCTCACCACGATTGCCAAGATAAAGCAATGACCATCCAGGGAAGGCAGCACAAAACATTGGGAAAATCCTAAACAGAGACCACAAAAGCAACCAACAATTCTAAAAAATATGATAAAAACAATCTGACTAGCCAATAAAAAACTTGATGTCATTATAATTCTTCCAAACTTTCAGTTTAAGAAATATTGCCCTTGTGATCAGATAATAAAGAGAAGTGAAAGTATGATACGAATTAATAAAAATCCTACCATTCCTTTCTTTCCATGTCCCAAGTCTATGAGCATTAGCAACTTCATCATTACTGTCAAAATTGTCTTCCACGAAATCCAGAGCCCGAAGAATCGTAGGTGGCAGCAAAAAGGAGGAGAAAATCGGTAGAATCCTCTTTAAAAGATTATAAGAAAAATCACATTGGAAAAATAAATGAATGCTGCTTTCAGGATAGCTATCAAAAAGAGTACACAATCTACTGACAGAAATATTTCTTGAAGCAAGAGCAACCACAGTTTTAAGCCCTCCAACAAGAGCAAGCCAAGAGTAAGTTGAAAACCTCAAAGAAAATCTCTTATACCAAATATGTTTGTGCCATTCCTCAGGAACCATAACAAGAGCAAAAAATGCTTAAAATTTGGGGCAGAGTTACCTTTCCAGCTAGCACAAGCCTTTCCCACAGGAGTAAAAAGTAAAATGTCATTAATTAAACAAAATGTACACTCTATCAAGGAGAAGTCTTTTATGTTCTATCAATACAAAGACATAAAGCCTTCAGTATAAAAAAATGTCAGGTAAAAAATTAGTTAAGTAAATAAAAGAAAATTAAACCAACAACTTACAGTATTTCTGCCAAAATTTGTCACCAGTAGTCACCACATGAGCATGTGCCATCTGTAAAATGGTGGAAACGATTTGAATCCCTCACCACAATCTCTCTTCCAGCGTATTTTGAAGTCAATTTGATGAAATTATGGCAATCCTCACAGATCCTAATGTTCTTCATAATTTTCAGACAATCCCAATTAGAAGAAGAATTCATCAATCCAAAAACCACAGCCATTTTCTCACTATGATTTAATAAATGCTCCTCCTTGTGCTCCTCATCAATTTCATGCAATACTAATCTAGTATCTGCCACATAACCCATCTCCTTGAGCTTAATCACTAGCCTCCTAAGTTCCACTAAGATTTCTTCTCTGTGTGGGTGGCGATGCCCTCCCACAGAGAATTCATGTACATAATCTCCAACCTCAATCCAGCTCAAACCAGGCTCCTTCTTCACCCCACATTCTTTCATTCCTTTTCTTACAAATGCTGCATCACCAAAGCTCCTTGTTGCACAATACAAATTTGACATAATTACAAAACCAACAGAGTTCCTCGGCTCCAATTCCAACAACTTTTGAGCAGCCTTCCTACCAATATTAGTCTCCCCATGCTTCCTACATGCCCCAAGTAATGCACTCCAAACAACAGGATCTGGCTCCATTGGCATTTGGTTTATTAGTTCCTCAGCTTCTAGAAGTTCTCCGGCACGTGCCAGAATGTCCACCATACATGCAAAGTGATCAAGTTGCGGTTCGATTCCATAAACTTTGGACATTTGGTTGAAGATATGACGACCTTCATTCACATAACCACAGTGGCTGCAAGCAGTAAGAATACCAACAAATGTTGCAGAATCAGGTGGAACATCCATACATTGAAAAGCGTTTAGAGCTTCCTTGCCTTTCCCATGAGCAGCATAAGCTTTGATAATTGAATTCCATGACACTCTATCATGAAATTCCATTTGATCAAAGATGCAAACAGCTAATTTATGGTTACCACATCGAGCATAAGCATGAATTAGAGCATTGCAAAGCACTGTGTCATTCCCATACCCTGACTTTATTATGAGAAGATGGAGGGCCATACAATTCCTCTCAGTTGCAAAGCCAGCAGAAGCCTTGACTGCAATAGATAAGGCATGTCGATCTGGTTTGAAACCCTCCCGCCGCAACTGGCAAAACATAAAAACAACCTCTGTCGGCTCTTGCTCACAACAAGCAGTCATAATTCCAGTCCAAGACATGAGATCATGTTTGGTAACAGACGAAAATACTTCATAGCAGACTTGGAAATCACCAGAATGGGAAGCATAGACCTTCACAAGAGCAGTTGCAACCTCTGCTTCTGAAACAAAGGAACTCTTGATACAAAGAGAATGCAACTGGCAGCACTCAGGAATGCTAGAACAGGAGGAAATGACGCTTATTAGAGTTGCCCTATCAAATTCAACACTACATCGCCTCATTCTAACGAAAAGCTCGAGGGATTGGTGCGATCTACCGCCTTGCAGAAACCCTGCAATCATCGAATTCCATGTGATATGATTCCTGAAAGACATTGTCTTGAATACCAAAAAACCATCATCCTCAAGCCCATCGCAGGAGGAATACATGGCGATCAAGGAGTTTCCAACGAAAACATTGGCATCCAAAGAAATCTTGGAAACAAGGGCGTGTACCTGTTTTCCATGGTGGCCATCTCGCGCTCCTGCACTGGAACTGAGAACCGCGACTATCCCGTAATCATTTGGACTATAATGTACAAGCATGGAAGAAAATAGCTGGATGCACTGCTGGTGTTGGCCGGCCTGAGAGTATCCCGTGAGGAGAGCAGTCCAGGAAACGAGGTTTCGGCGGGGCATTTCGTCGAACTGGCGGCGTGCAAGATCGGTGCGGCCGCACTTGGAGTACATGTTAATAAGGTGGTTTGAAAGGAAGAGGTCGATGGAGGGGGAGGGGGAGAGGAGCAGATGGCGATGGAGTGATCGGCCAAGGGGGAGGAGGCGGCGGCTAGAGCAGGCATGCAGGACAGCAGCGTAGGCGGCGGAGTCCGGTGATGAGAGGGAGAAAAGGGTGGCGGCAGCCTTTGGGAGGTCGCCGGCGGCGAGTAGATGGAAGATTCGGAGAGAGTTTTCTCTCGGAGGGAGTAAAGGAACCGAAGTGCTGGAGAATTTGGCGGCAGTGATGGCCACCATTTCCAAATCTAACGGATAGTCAGCAACTTCGAATGCCGAATCCGCCACATTTTTATAAGCATGCTTAAAATATCTCACATCATTCTTAAGAAAATTCTTTTTTTGCCACCGCCATATGAGGCACATGACCGCTTAATTAATTCCTCCGGGTCTACAATTAATCTGCTTCACAAGTGCATGAACCACAATTATTTTTTCTCTAATTAAGATGTTTTGCTGCATGAGAGGGATTCAAATATGGGTTAAGAAAAGTTTTTACTAAAGTACTTAATTGATTGAGGTAAGATTATTCAATTTATTAAACATATCATATATTATGTAGTGGATTGTAGGTAAACTCCTTTAAGAATGATAGAACCTCCAATAACCGGTTCCCAGATAGCTGATTTGATTTGCCGAAAGAGTCATGCAGCAATTTGATAATATTGTAATTGTCACCTTCAATGATTATGTCTTTAGCCTTTAACATCAAACTATGAACAAATGACTTTAAAGAAGCAATAGCTAAGAGCTCCATATGAGCAATATCACAGTGCATACATTGAAAACCAAATGCCAACAGAAATCTACCATTAATATCTCTAAAAACTCCACCGACGTCAGCTTTATTAGTTTTTAACAAAGTAGCATCAATATTTACCTTAATTCAATTGGGGGGAAGAGAGCGCCAATGATTACAAAACAGCTTAGGAAGCTGATTAACACCACAGTGATCCGATATAAGATTAAATTGGTAAGAAGAAGCAACAAAGCTAATCACATTTGATGCAATAAATGAAGGACTATCTTCAACCCCTCAATGCTTGACTTTATTCCTACTCTTCCAAGAGAAATATAACAATGTGCAACATATGTTAGCCCTAAACGGAATAGTACCAGCTAACCTCTTTAACTCAGCTTTACAAACCTCAAAAGAGAAGAATGATGGTACAGTAAATCCCCATGCATTCAAAACCTCTATAACTTGAATAATCTTCACACAATTTGCTGCAATATGATCATAATTTTCAATAGTAAGACAACCTATAGGACAAAAGTTATTATCAAATAACCTTCTCTGGCATAAGTAATCATTTGATTGAATAGCATTGTTACACAATCGCCAAAAAAAATAACTCCACCCGAGAGTTAAGCTTTAATTTTTATACCCACTTCCAATAATCATCATCCTTCTTAACTTCAACCAATGCCTCTAATGCCATAGCAACAATTGTTTTACCATAAAATTTGGATTTAAGCTCTATGCGATCCTGTATAAGCTTTGGACAGATCTGTGTTTGAACAATTAGCTCAACAAAGTCATTTCCAAAGTATACTCCAACCTATTAATGTTCCATCTCCCATCCGAAATAAAGTAATCCAGGAAAACTGAATCATCTAAAAAATAAAAAATTTTCCCTTTAATCTAGCATGGCTTCTCTCATGCTAGGGTTAGTTTTAAGATGGTTTTCTTACTACATTTTAAAACAAAATTTTAATACAAAATTTTTTGAACTAGAATTTTTTGCACTAAAAAGTTATTTAAAAAAAAAAAAAAATTAGAAAATCGTCCTAAACAAAGCCTTAGTGACATAATTGATTAAGAAGTTAAAAGAATACGATGATAAGTGATAAATGAAATAGAAGTTGGGCAAAATTAAAATTTTATATCACATGAGGAAAGTTGTCTTTACTATCCATAAAATACTTTGAACATTTATGCAAATTTAGGGTTTCAAAAAGATAAACTTCAAACAAAATTCAGTTCATCAAAGAATAAGAAGTTAAAAAGAAAGAATCCATTAGCCATATGGGAGCTCTTGAAATGATAGTTGAACCACAATAAAATTATTTAAAGCTTCTCTGTTTGATTATGATTAAAAGAGGAAAATTAAATAACCAAAATTTTTCTAAGATGCTCAAGGTTTATTTATAAATTTATTAGAAATATTTAAAACTAAATCTTAGACTTAGAAAAATCATTTCATAATATTTGGAAATTTATTTGGGTTGTTTTTCAATTTATTTAGTTATTACCTTATTTTCTTATTTATAAAAATGATTGTGATTTTTATTTAATTTTGTAAAAATATGCAAAATTGAGTCAATATTATAATGTTGACCACATATATATGCTTGTAAGTTGAATTGACTTCATATATTTCATTATATGCATTAAATTTGTCATATATGCTTAATTATGTTAATTATTTTATTAATAATCTAATTAAGAATGATAAGCTTAATTATAATATCCCTAACTTCCTTAATTAAGTATTTTTTATGTTCACAAATTTATTTGATTTTTCATGTTACATATAATTCATTGAATTTGTCAAATCTTGTTTAATATAATTAATTATAAATTTATTCATACTTATGTTATAAATGATGAATCCAAGCTTAGTTTTGATTCCATTAGATTCATTGAGTTTATTATATACCATTTGTTATATTATATATGCCATATACTTTGCATGTATATTCATATAGTTATATGCCATGAATAAAAGTTTTAACTTATTTATTAAAATTGATTAGTATATTGTTGTCTAGACCCACTTAAAATTATAAAATTATTTTGTGCAGATATGAATGTCTTTCGGAGGCGAATCAAAATGTGCCATGTTACTCTTTTGTATTGTACCGCGGTTGTGTACCCGCTGTACATCAAGTGATGTGGCGCGTTTTGATTCACCTTTGGACGGTCCGGTGTCCACACAGAATTATTTCTCCTTAAATCCATAGTAAATTGGAGCCACTTTAATGCGCATGCATTAGGGGGACTGATGTGTTGCAAAATTTTACCTAACGACTAGTTCTAGCTTGACATGAGAGGGAGATGATTTAACATTTTAATGAGCCATTTGTTGATTTTGTGGATATTTTGGAGATATTTAAGGAGTACTTTGCGCTAATGTATATTTAGAAAAACTTAAGAAAATGATGAATTTTCTTAGTGCTTGAATAAAGACTTGGTTAGAAAGTCTTAGAAATGATAATTTCTTATTAGATTTAAATGAGAATTTAACTCTTAATAGGACACAATGGATAAATATGATTCATGTAGTCAACCCCACATAGTGGGATAAAGGATTGATGTTATTGTTGTTGTTGAAAGTTAAACTATTTTTGCGAGAAAATGAAGATTCCAAAGTGTTCAACAAATTAAGCTTTCCGTAAGGTTCTAACCTTTGGTAAATCATTTGTTCAATCTCATAAGATTTTGCATATGATAAAATTGGTATGGGTTTGAATGACATAATTGCTTATTGTAACCTTTTGTAGTATTTCATTTGTTTGTTCTTAAGGATAAATTATTCTCACGTATGACATAAACCTAACCCAAATATTGTGTGGGTTGACTCAAATTCTAAAATTTTGTGATGAGTATAATATTGACACCCCTAATGTTGATCTTAAGATTATAGAGTCAAAATCTAAATAAAAAAAGAACGCCGATTGCTCTCTTAAAATTGAGAGGCACCTTGATGTAACCAAATTACATTAAAAATGTTATAATTAAATCGACAAGTTGCTATTCTATTATAGATTAACATTAATGTTACATTCTAAAAAATTCAAGATGATAAGGATTGAAAGTTAATTAAATCTTAGATTGCACAAATATCTTACACACATAAATAAAAGGAGAATCACACGTACATGAGGCATATATTTTTTGTATGAAAATAATCTAAAAAAATGGGACTTCAACTAAAATAATTTTAGTAGTACAAGACAATAGGGGTTATAAAATTGAACCAAGGTGGGAAGATAGAGATGATTATATGATTTTTTCTTATGTTATTATTTTGTTGGATTCCAATTAATCATTCAGTATTTCATATGATATTGAAAATATTTAAAGATTAATTTATACTTTTAAAACTTGACATAAAGCTCTTATCCACTATGTGAGGTTGGCTAAATGAATCTTTTTCTCCATTGTGTGCTATTAAGAATCAAATTCTTATATAAATCTAATAAAAAATAATTTTTAATATTTTTTTAAGGAAGACTTTTTTGGTCTACCTCTGCCTCTATTAACATAGGCAGAAACTAATACATCTACTCTCATATAACAGTGGGGATGTCAATATTTGATACAACCTGAAAACCCAACCTAAACATTTTGGGTCTAGGTCAACTCATTTGGAAAATGAGACAGGTTCGGGTTTCATATTCTAAGTTGATTGTAGTTTCGAGTCAAGTTTGGTCAACCCAAAAACCCGAAAGCAAACCAAGACTAACCCATTTACTCTGGGTTAACGCAAAATCCCACTCGCATCGTCATGCTCGTCAATCATATTCATCAAACTCGCGTTCACCATGCCAGAATGACTCAACTACAAATGACTCACCAGGATAGAAAGACCCACAATGGTCTACCAAAAAATTGAACTACGTAATTGTGCTTCTACCTTGATGTAGGATCAAGGTAGAAGCACAAGCATAACAGAGAATTTCAATGGAACAGTGCAAGCTTCGCAAGCTGCAGAGTTCAATTCGTATATTTGGGAATATAAAAAAAAAAACTGTCCAAACCTTACAGCCAAGACAACTATAAGGCCATACGCCTTTTACTACAACTGTAAAAACAACTAAAAAGTGCTACCTGTACTAAGGTATAAAAAGTAGCATAATCAGAGTAAGTGGAGAAGAAACTATAACTAACTAAGGAAATAAGATAACTTATCCTGCATGAGCAAAATAAAGGTTCGGTACTAAAAGTGCTCCGCATCATTCGCCACGGCTTTGAAAATCATTGATTACTCCTGAATCAATGGTGTCGTCGTTGTCATCTGGTGGTTGGTACGGGTAAAGATCCGCCACATTAAAAGTATGTGACGTATTGAACTCAGATGGTAGATCAATAACGTATGCGTTGTTATTGATCCGGTGCTTGATTGCAAAAGGTCCAAACTTGCGGCGTCCAAGTTTAGAGTAGGTTCCTGGAGGTAGACGCTCCTTCCTCAAGCGCACCAAAACTAAATCACCCGTGTTAAAAACCTTCTCCCGGCGATGAAGATCAGCACTTCGTTTATATGCCATATTTGATTCCTGTAATTTAATACGCACCTTGGCTAACATTTCGTAAAATTGCTCAGCCATTGTTGCTGCCGCCTTGTTAGTGCACTTAGGAA